AAGTGCCAGTGCACTTGTGCCAGCCAAAGAAAGAAAGACATGAGTCTACTGCAGGGGCACCATCCTTGTCATCTAACTTGACACACCAGCTGCGTCCACAGCAGATTGGCCTTAGGGAGGGGACACAGGTTGTAAGGACCATTTTTATTCTTCACACAGAGCTGCAGCTAAGTCAGAACTGTATTAGTTGGACTTGTCTGACTGATAACCTGATTCCTTTGGCTGTTTTCTGATCTTTCAACTCTACCCAATCACAAAATAAAATGTTATATAAATATTCAGACTTCTACTGCAGCATTTCTGTAGTCCTTCTAGTCATGAACTGCAAGAGTCCAGAAGTCATGGCCAGGCACACAGCCCAAGAACACAGTGCCCCTTGATCCTATGGCTAATGCATGAGGAGTGAGATAGAGAGTTCTACTAACCCTCTGAGATGAAGGCTTTCTGCACAACTCACAGTGACTGTAGTGATTCAGGTTTAGTTTACACATGGTAAAAGAAAGTGTTGTGTATCCAGCTCTTCTTTGCCCTCTCCTTTGTAGGAAAAGAAGAGGCTGAACATACATTTTTTCTAGAAACAGGCTTTCTGCAGAACTCAGGTCCCAGGGAAGAAGGGGATCTTCAGTTGTTAGGTCATGAAAATTCCTTAAAACTGAGCTTTATGTTTGGCCAGTCCCCTAAAAAAATTAGTGGCTAGAAGATTTTTCTACTTTTATTCCTCAACACTAAATAGGAGAGTATTTTTCCACTTCGTACACAAGACCCACATTCTGAGCATTCCTTCAGTAACATTCAGTCATAATTTGACAACATTTTTAAATGACAACCTTATTGTTTTAATTACTGTTGTGTAAAGAGCTGGAAATATGCATCAGACTCAGTTCCAACTTAAAAGTTAAGTCTGCAAGAGGCAGCTGTTGCTAAGGGAGGAATAACTCAAGACAGAAGCAGAACATGATTGCGGAGATGTCCTTCCACTTTATCTGATGGGAATAGATAGGAAAAGACAGTCATCATTTGCTCTTTCCCAGCCCAAGGCCATTCAGAGACCAGAATCATTGGCCATTCTGTAGGCTGAGAAATCCAGTTCATCTGTCCTCTTGTGGAACAACTGGCTCACAAATTTTAGACTGTAAGAAAAAAATCCTTTGTAGAAGAAAAGGTTTGGAAGAGACCCAGTAGCTGCAAAAAACAGGGGTGACAGCTAAACAGCCAACTAGTGATGGAAAGCCCAAACATAGTGATTTAAGAAAACAAACCCAAGACCCATTTTCTCTAGCAGGTAATTAGCAGTAGCCTTGACAAGGTAAAAAGAGGCACCTTTCTGAAGCAAGGCAATACCACAGCAGGGTTCTCTCAAGATTCCCATCATGGAGTTGTGATAAGGGGCCCCCTTTAAGCTCAGGGAAGGACTGGGACTCTAACATGTTAATGATCATGTGCTGATCTGCATGTTGGATTTCCGACTGCGTGAGTAAAAGTAACACGCACTAGCCTGATTTGATCTGCTACTGGGAACACCTTCAGACTTTGTCCCTGTTGCTTAAAGAGCAATTACTAACACATTTCCGTACCAGGCACATGGGAGTTTTCTGATAGGTTTCACCATGTATACTCTGTAACACATTACAGCACTGCACTCTATTCATATGACTTCTCCAGTGAGATGGCTAAATTTTAGATACTCCTGGACCAGATAATTTTTCTATAAAAAGCAGAGAGATTATGGATAATTATTTCCTGCTGTCCTCTCTGTGTCTTTTAACTCCATTAAGCAAACAGACAGTGTTTGGTATATGAGTAAGAAATGTAGTGTAACAGAAAATACACTAGAAAGGAAGTGATTACTAATCACTGTTTTTTGCCCAATACAGCTAAAATGACCTATTTACTCAGCTCATCAGCTGAGCAAACTACTGACTTCAAGATGTGTGAAACCATCCTTGTTTTTTTGGTTCCAAATGCAATTTTGTTTTGGTAATGAATTCAAGGAGCAAATATGACCTGGGCTGACAGAGAAGCACACAAGAACTAGAGTCATCCCATAGAGAGAAGACACGAAAGGGAGGCAGACAGACAAAGCCTAAAACATTGTCAAACAGTTTATTAAATAAGCTTAATGATTTTAATATATGGAACTCAAGAAAGCATCAGCTAGGTTAACATTTGCCCAGGACATTCCAGTACCCGTTAGGAAGTAAAATGTAAAACGACTCTTAAAACTGTACTATGGCTTTGGGCAGCAGGAAGATAAAAAGCTAACCTGAGCTCTCAAGTGACCAATCAGATGGAAATTAACTACAGATGTAAGGGACATGATTCATTATCTGCTGGAGTTAAAAGTATCAACTACCTTATGAACATATAACAAACCCCCAGATGGATATGCCTCTCTTATACTCCATTAAACTACTTAGGTGTCTCAGTATTTTCAGAACTGAACATAATTTTTGGACAAATAATCACTATGTGTGCTTTATAGTTAGCACTGTGAGACACACATTCGGTGTTCAGACGTTTTGATTTAGGAGGCTTTAATTTTGGGGTGGCTTGTTTTTGCTAGGAATGAGAGGAGGTACTCCTTGAATATTAGCTCATCTGGAATTTTCAAATGGCAAGTTAAAATCATATCTTTACACATGGCTTTGGGGATTCCCTTTTACTTTTCTCTGACTCAAGAACAGTGCTAAATGTTTCTTCCCTTAAAAAGAAAAATCCCTTTAAACTGAAACAAAATAGGAACACTTTGCCAAGAAAATATTTTAATATATGAACCTATAAAAAATATTATTCCATAATTTCATCTACAAGTTGTTCTCAGACCCATGGCAAGGAGGAATGACTTCACTCCCAATAAAAACTAGTCCTAATGGAAAAAAATTACTTACTGGCAATATGGTTATCTAAAACCAAACATATTCTCAGAAAGACAGAATTTAATATTGAATTAATGCTTCAAAATATATCCAGCCTTGACTTCAAAAGTCACAGGACTTGCTTCAAAGTTCAGGAAGACCTACTATGTAACTTATACCTCAGTGTGCACATAGGTTACGTTTAATTTGGCAGGTAATTCAGCTCAGCACAAGCAAACAAATAAAACAAGGCAGCTGGCGTAAGGCCCCTGCACCTACAAGAGTTTCTGCTTCAGTCCAACTTTAATCTGGTTGGCTGGAGCTTGAATGTTGCCCGTCGTGGATACAGTTCGAAGCTGTCCAATGGACCAACCACTCGTTCATCTGGAGATGATTAGCTCTCCCTTAGGATGACGAAGATTTGGTGCTGTTAATCCAAAAACACGCTTAGGCAATCACAGACTCCTCTTTCCCTCTTCTCATTTTATTGTTCTCTCCTGCTTTGCCCTCCTCCGCTCCAGGACATCACGCCTCTGGCATTTTAAGTGACCTACGGGATGAAGACAGGTTTGCTCTCTTGCAAATGTTTGAGTTTGCTTCTTGTGTGCTCACAAGAATGGCTGTACCAGCTCAAGGGCTACTAAGTGAGACAAACTCCAGCTGTAGGAGGGACAAAACCTCCAGCACCAACTAGGGCTGACTTTGCCAAGTCACCTCAGGAGTCAGGGGCTTTTTCACTCCAGCCCCACCCCACAGCCTGTCATCTTGCCTGCCAGGGATTTTCAGAGCTCACCTCCTGTTGACTCTCCAAATGTGTGGAATGGTGTTTGGTCATAGGAACATTTTAGTACAGAAGTCTTTGGGAGAGGGAGGCTTTGCAGCACTCTTCTTCTTGCCACTGCTCCCCTGATGATCAGATACAGGTATCTGATTCCTCACAGAGTTCCCACCTTCCTAAAATATTTGCCAACCCTCCTCAAACGGGGCAAGGTGAAGGTAACAACACAAACCTAAATGCCCCAAGAGAAACTCAATCACAATGAAACCTTGAAAGCCCCTTCAAGTTTGAAAATGTTGAGAAACTTCTGCAAGGCATTCAGAAGGGGGCTTGCTTTCTCATCTTTCCCCCACCCTTATGAGCAGGTGTAAGGGCAGAGTAAGGCTTGTCAAAGGCCCTCATTCTGAAGGCAGCCAGTGCCCCGGCCAGCGAGGACCCTTCCACAAGCTCCATGGCCCAGAAGTGCATTCCCTTGCTCAGAGACCTTGAAAGATGTTGCACGGGCAAACGTTCACCATTTATTTATTTCAAGTGTTTGACAAGATGAAGAGCTGTGGGTCAGACATCCTCTTTAAGGCCACGTTCAGGAACTCCACCTTTCTTGCAGCCCCATGACTGCCCCTAACCGAGGCCCGAAGCCCATGGCCAGGAAACGCCTTCCCCTGCCTCCGGCTGCGAGGGTCGCGCACATGGGGGGGACCCCATGGCGCCGAGAGGGGACCCTGCGAGGCGAAGTGTGCGGGGCAGGTGCCGCGCCCGGCGGGGCGCGGGGGGCGCAGAGCGGCCGCTCCGGCGTCAGGAGGAGCCGCTCGGTGCCGCTCTTTCCCCCGCCGGCCCCGTCTGCCGAGCGTGTGTCAAACCCACGTGCTCCGGCAGCCCGCGCACACGGGGAGCGGCGCCCCGCGGCCCCGCACCGTACCGCACCGTACCGCACACCGCCGGCCCCGCACCGCACCGCACCGCACCGTACCGCGCCGGCCCGCACGGGCACCTCCAGCGGCGGCCGCGCCGCACCGCGGCCTGCGCCGTCCCCGCGGCGACGGCGGCGGGGAGGAGGAGAAGGAGGAGGAGGAGGGCGGTGTTTTCCTGCGCGGCGCCGCGGCCGTCGCCCCGCCGCCGGCGAGCGTCAGGCGGGGCGGGGGGGCCCGGCCTGGCCCTTCCCCTGGCCCCCGCGCCCCGAGGATGGCAGCGCTGCCCGCACGAGTGGCTGGCGGCGGTGTCCCTCCTCTTTTTTTTTCCGGGAGCGGCGGCGGCGGCGGCATCGGCGGCGGATCATTGTTGTGTGGGAGGAGGGTGGCGGGGATGGACTTGATCTCTCGGGTCTCCTGCTGAGGCGGCAGCACAGCGCGCCCCGCCGCCCAGCCAGCGCCGCGCCGGGCAGGGAGGGACCGGCCCGGCCCCCCGCCCGCTCCCTGGCTCTTTATTTTTAGGGGGCTCTGCTGCTCCTTTCCCTCGCCCTTATCTCTCCCCCCCCCCTCCTCCCCGCCCGTACACACGCACAGGGACACGCACGCACCCTCCTCCGGTGCCCTTTCATCCTTCCCCCCCGCCGTCCTCCCGCGCCGGCTCCTGCCGCGGCAGATGCGCCGCGGGTCACCGCGCAGCTGGGACTATGGTGAAATTTCCAGCGCTTACTAACTACTGGCCCCTGATCCGGTTCCTGGTCCCTCTCGGCATCACCAACATCGCCATTGACTTCGGGGAGCAGGTAAGGCAGCGCCTCCCCCGGGAGCGACCCTCTCCCGCAGCGCCGGGCCGGCGGGGCTCGGCACCTCCGCCGGGAAGGGAAGGGGAGCCGAAGCGGGCAGAGCCGAGCCGTGCCCCGCCGTTCTGCCCCGGCTCATCGCGGCGGGCGGGGACCGCGGCCCCATCGCCAGTGGGGGCAGCGGGCTGCCGGTGCCGCCGTGCCTGCCCCGGCGGCGGCCCGAGAGCACGGGCTGCCCCGCACCCCCGCGAGATGCACAGGGAAGGACGGCGGATTTTGGGTTGTTTGGGGGATTTTTTTTTTCTCCCTCGTATTTCAGGATTATATAATCTCAAATTACATAATGCATTCGCCGGGGGCTGGTTTTGGTTTATGCCCCCGCTGACACGGGCGCTCAGGTGCAGCATCCCCTAGCGCAGTGCAGCCCGGTGGCGGCGGCGGCTGGAGCGGGGCGCGGGGAGGGCGGCCCGGCTGCCGCCGCCCGCTGCCGGAGGGCGCCGCGGACCCCCCGCCCCGCCGCGCTGCCGCTGCCGCAGCGGTTCGGCCCCCGGCACCGGCAGCCCCCGCCGTGGCATCGCGGGAGGAGGACGGCATCCCGGCGGAGAGCCGCTCCGCACCCCCTCGGTGAGGGGGCGACTTCCCGGCGAGTCTCCGAGCAGGTGAGGCTCGGGCTGCGCCCCTGCCTTCGCCGGTGTTCGATGCGCCTCAGCCCTGCTGCAGTTCCGTAGCGGTGTTGGTGACCTAAGGCTGTCCCCCTGTCATAGGCACGGAGAAGATAACTCTGGTACCCGAACCTATCTCCCTGACGTGCAGCCTTCCCGCTTCGTCCTTCCAGTCCCCGCTTGCAGCGTTTGCACTGAGAACATGTTCAATGCTTGACGTACCCACTCCTCCTCTGGCCGAGCTTTTCCCGCAGGGTGCTCGTATGCCACTGCGCTGTGGTGTGGCAAATCTCTGCGCTCATGTTTCTGTATTTATGACAGTCCAGGCCCCGATCTTGTGTTAGGCTGCACTGTATGGGCTGATCACTAATTACATTTTCAGTAGGATGTTATACACTACTACTTACTCACAAGTGTTAAGCTGGGCAGCCACACTAGATGTTGCATCTCAAATAGCTTTATCCTTGTCCTAAGTCACTTGGTTTTACTAAGAAGATCTTGTTTTCTAAGAAGAATAGGCACTTGCTCCTGTGATCCTTGAGCAAAGGTATCGGAAAATTGGTGGGTACTTTCGGCCATTTGTAAAGAGGAAAGTGAAAGGAAAAAATATTACAGTGGGGAAAAAAATAACTAATATTAATCATATGTTTGTCATGGCTGTGTCAATTGCCTTTTGATTCCTAGTCCCTTAAATAAACTGTGATACTAAAAAATACAATTCCATCCTTGTCTGACAACTACATGCTTTCCTACTAAGTCAGTCTTGTATAAATCATAGTCAGTGGGGAAAAACGGAAATCTAAAGATAGAAGTGACAAGGGAAAAGGTGATTTAAATGCTAATAACTGTGCCATGTTAATAACATACAGCAGAAGTTAAATTGAAAGCAAACTGAGTATGACAGGTGCATAGCTACAGTTTGCCTCATACAAGGTCAGAGTGATTCAAGATCTATGTCAGCCTATAAAAAACATCCCTTTGGCTTCAGTGTCCTCTGTACCAGGATTTAAAAAAATTGCAAGCAATATTCCAAGTAAGGGGCCTTCTGTCTGTTTGGGTACCGGTGACACGGGAGGCATGTTAACATGTGGACTGTACGTGTAAACACATTTAAGCAACTTTGACAGCATTAGGAACAAATCTTAGAAAATGTGTTTTATTTCATAGCCAAGTAATAGGATTGGCCCTCCAGGAGAGTTGCAGTTCTCCCTTGTCTTAGATGGCAGCCAGGGGAGGTGATTAATTGAGAAGGGAGAAATATAGCCTGCTAGACATCTAGCTCCTTTCAGGAGCAGAAACTAGAAAGATAGTTTTTGTACCAGCCTTACCTACATGGAAATCAGGAAACCAAAGCAGGGACAAAGTTACTCCAGATCTGAAGGGTTCCTCTTACAGACCAAAGGATAGTGATTTTATTTTCTAGTATATAATACATGAAGTTGTTTTTTACACTTGTAGGAACATTACTGTGACACTTGTGAGGTTGAAAATATGTTGACTTGCTCAGCCAGTCCCCTTTCTGCTTAAAAAATTTGTAATGATTTTAATGCCAGGGTTGAATGGATGCAACACAGAAGAATGGGTGTGCCAACAGATAGCTCTGAAAAGGCTGCTGTACCTTCTCCTGTGAATGTGTGCTGCAGATAACAAAGATTTCTAAGAATGATAAGGGAAGAAAACTTTGCATGAAGTAATATTACCTGCTCTGGACAATACTGTGAAAGAAACAGGAGAACTATAGGTCAGAAGTAAGAGATGACTGTAAAAATTAGGGAGAGAATGGACCTTGCCTGACCAGGGAAGAGGTGTGTAAGAAGTGCTATAAGCCATAAACCCTTTTGATGTGTGGTATTCATACATTGCTTCCTCAAGGGGGGAGGGTTATTTGGAAGCAAAGTGTTCAGAACAAAGCCTTTTTAATAAACCCTTATACTTAGATACCTGAGTTTGAAAAGTGAGAAACAAAGATATTTGCACTTTTTTTTTTTTTTTTTTTTTTTTTTTTTTTTTTTTTTTTTTTTT